ATTCAAGTAAAATAATTATAGATTATCTTATCACAACTGCTAATATCAAATCATTCTACTTGAATGATTTAAGTAATTCAAATAAAAGAAACTATTTGTGTGTGTGAGATTTCATTAAATTTTGTAATTTTTCGAATAAAAATAATACATCAGCTGAGATGATTCCTCATGTCAAAGTACTATGTTTCACTATATTCCAAATATCGTGGACTGCGAATATTTGTGTAAATATTTTCCAAGACAATTGTAAGAAACAGAAATGAAATAAAAATAAATCATTCTTTATAGTAATTTATATAAGTTGAAAATAGCATAGCTATATTATTAAAATTCTTCTTACAAATGCATAAAATTAACAGCCTAGTACTAAAACATTATTCACAAATCATTTACTAATTTTCATTAAAATGGAGCTGATCCGTTACATAATTCGACATGCTCGTAAATTGAATATTCTATGTGAATATTTTATGAATGTTTTATAGTAATATTTCACAGTATTTCCATCAAGAAGGAAGTAATTAATAATTTCGAACACAAATCAATACTAACACAGTTTGGTAAATAATCCCTGGAAAAGATTTTTCATTTCTTTCAGTCAGCACCGAACATACGAACGTTGAATGTTTCATAATTTTTGGGAAAAAATCCGGTCGTTTAACGATTAACAGACGGGTTGTTTTTTCACTGTCTTTCTCGGTTCCCGGACATTTTTGAAGAGAATTAAATAAACATGTACATATGGTTTTAAAGCGTTGCAGTTTCATTAAATCAACGCTACACTTTCGATACAATTTTACGAAGTTATTTATTTACATGTTTTGTATTAATAAAATATTGGGTTGGCAACTAAGTAATCGCCGATTTCAGTTATAGATGTCTCTCACTCCCATTTTCATGATATCCGTAAATGTTATATTATAAAATTATTATTATTATTATTATGTTATTTTTTATTATCCGTGAATGTTAGCAACTGGACAAATTGAATGCAGCGGCCGAGGAAAAGCGACCAGAATTGGTCAATCGTAAAGGTGTCATTTTCCAGCAGGACAATGCTAGGCCGCACACGTCTTTGTCCACTCGGCAAGAATTCATGGATATTGCTTGGGAATTGATGTTACACCCACCATATAGCTCTGATCTCGCGCCATCGGATCACCACTTATTTCGATCCCTGGACAACTCCCTTCGTGGTAAAACTTTGAATGACGATGACGCTGTAAAATCTCACTTAACTCAGTTTTTGGCCGCAAAGGAACAGACTTTCTACGAGCGTGGAATTTTCAAGTTGTCAGAGAGATGGCAAAAGGTCATCGAACAAAATGGAAGATACATTACAGATTAAACTTCGTTCTAAGTAAAAAATAATTTCTTATTTCATTGAACAAGTCGGCAATTACTTAGTTGCCAACCCAATATTAATGAAGTATTAATACAGATTTAAGAAAAAAATCTAAATCTACGTGGCCCGTCCGTTAAGTGTTAAAGGAAGATAGAAGTGCACATAAAGCACACTTCGATAAGTAGATAATCGTTCGCGCGAAGGGACCAGAAACGCCGGAGACATTTACGCCTTTCAAAGGCCGGCTAAAGCCACCGTCGTTCGAATAATTATGAGCGGTAACGCATGCTCTTTATCCGTTAAACCGTGCTTACGTGAGAGTGTTTATGGGGCGCCTCGACATAGGCGATCGGTATTATCCTGTTTTTATAGAGTCGGAGGACCTCGTCGTCGGGGACCGGATGCAGGCCGCGGTAAACGGCGCCAAATTGGATTTGCAAGAAGCTGTCGAGTTTCAGCAGCAGACCCTTTTCGATGTCATAATGGAGGCCGCGAACAGCGAAATTCTCCTTGTACTCGAGGTCGCTGATTCCCTCGGGGTACTGTACAGTCGATTAAACGGGTTTGCCTCAAGTTTCAATTGAAATTCTCGTTCGGCCGTAATTGTCGCTTGATTTTCGAGAAAACGCCGCTGACGAGCCGAACTTGCGAGCAGAAACGAGTTAGACGAAGTTTCATGCGCCCCGTTTTCGTACGAATTAGTCTCGTTGCGACAGAGCCTCGTCGGCGTCGCGTCGTCGTCGTCGTCATCGTCGTCGTCGTCCTCGTCGACGGCGTCGTCGTTCTCGTCGGCTTTGGAACTTTCCGTCGGCCGTTCGTTCGCAGACGCAACGATTTTTCTTTTCATTACCAGTTTGTTAGAAATTATATTCTAGGAATTAAAGATACGCGTTCCATGGCGATCAGTCGCGTTCCGCTCCCCAGAAGACACCATTGCCTTCCTCGCTCCGTGGCCAGATCCTTCGGGAAGGCTGTCATCCTTGTTCTTTAACCCTTTGGCTACGGCAGATTTTGATACGTACCGTGCAGACAGCATACGATAGCTCAACCGGAATCTATACTATGAACGATGTGCGTGTATTGTTTCATTCGCTTCGAAATAGTCGAAACACCGAACCGTATTAACCGTGTCAATCGTCGCCGAAGTTCGTTTTCTTTTAACCCTTTCGCTACGGCAACTCCATCCGCCGAAGTACCGTCACCGAACGGAAATTCGCTCCGGAAATCTGCACAGTGCGCGTGCTTTCTGTGTATATGTTGTTCCAAGCCTTAAATAATAACTGTGCCGAATAAAACAATCGTTGCTCTAATGTAGCAAGTATATTTACATTTTTCATTTGAAAAGACTTACAAGATTATAGGTAACATAGGTATTTATGTAATTACAAAGCCGAACGATTGAACAAAATTATAAAAAAATAATATATAATATTATTAAATATTATAATATAATATATTAAATATATATATTAAATATATATAATATAATATATTAATATATAATATATTATATAATATTAAATAATAATATTATATATTTAATAATAATATTATTAAATAATAATAATATATAATTAAATTATAAAAATCTAATAATATGTAAAAACCAATAATATAATTCTGTGCGATACATTTGAAAGCAAGGATCTGTACAAAGGCGAACATCGCAATCTTTGCACTCGTACCGCGAATCCGTTCTTTTATCATTTTTGCTACAAATTATACACATCGCTGTCTTCTGTATACACTTCGTTTCGATGCCGGATGTATACGGCACCCGTACGCACAGGTCGTCGCGCGGATGCCGGATATATACGGCACCCGTAACGAAAGGGTTAAAGAAGAATCCGTCGCTAAGAAACTAATCGAACTCTCTCGTTTTCGCGTGCGCGTACCTTGTATCGTTGGATGAGCATGTCGCGGCCGAGGTTGTAGAGCAGATAGTCCATGGACGGTTTGTAACAGGCCAGCGTGTAATCGTAATCGAACCCGTACACCTGCACCTCCTTCAAGTCGAGCTCGTTGCAAGCGAACACCCCCTTCAGATTCACGTCATGGGGAAGCTTTTTGGCTGCACGAGACAATTACACGGTTAGTTTCGATTGCTACACGGGTAGCGTAATTGAAAAGGGTGGTCAACTGTTGGGACTATTACGTCGCAAAGCCCTTGGCACGATTGCTTCTGTGCTTCAAGTGTGCTGGGCAGGCTGCATTATCAATTGGACTAGAGAATTACGAAACCGCGCGAGTCCAATTTTTCGCGCCGCAGTGGCGGACAGCGTACTCGTGAGTTGGATTTTCACGGAAATTCGCAGTTTTATATGTTATTTTGCGAGAGGCAGAGTTTTAAATGAAAGCTTTCTTCGCCGACTTAAAGATCGCTTATTCTGGAAAGAAAATGCAAAACGTAAAAAAAATGCATAACTTTCGTAGTAGAATCTTCTCTCACTCTAATTTTTTATTGTATTTATATTGTATTTATTTATTTTATATATTATAAAATATTATAATATTATTCTAATATTTTATTTTATTAATATAGTCATTGAATTTTTCTTTTCTTTTCAGAGAAAGACTTTCTTCTCAACATAATATCCGGTGGACTCGTTTAAAAAGGATTACTACTAATCTGCTTATTGTTATTCAGATTAATTGTGCGAATGAAAAATATTAGGCTATGCAAAGGAAACGTAGATTTATATTATAAAGCGAAAATAAGAGAAAACAATGCGAATAAGAGAATTAGTGTCAAGAACTTGTAGAAGATAATATCTTGAGAGTAAAAGTACGTGACATGTGGCGTTTTTTCTTGCAATCACAGGCCGAATGATTATACGTAATTTTATATACCGGGCGGCTTATCTGAAGGCGGTGAATGTAAATCAAAGTTTTCTAACCGGAAAAATTTGTAAACGCGCTTAGAACATACATAGAAAAAAATCCTGTAAATTTCACTGCAAAAGGTGACATTTCTCCACAAAAAAATCTCGAAGAAGTTAAATAAAACGTTGTTGACATTACCACCTTAAATAAAATTCAGTAAAAGATTGCATTCGTGCAGACATCGGGAAACAAAAATTGTCAATTCCGAAAGAGTATCGTAATTACCGTAAAAGTAATCTCGTTATCTCCCCCGAGAGGAGAGAGGAGTACAAATGCTGAAATATGGAATTCATTTCGAACGAACCGCGTAAAAAATATTCCTCATATAGTCGCAACTGAAGGAGATATTCAGGTGGTTTGTCGGGTCCCCGCATAATTAAACGCGCGTGTATCAGGAGCCTGACACCGCGAGTATTTGCACGCTCGTTAATGTTTCTGCTATTTCTTATCGCCCCGCGCGCATCGGGCGTGGCATAATTTAAAAAAACAGACCGCGCTGCTCTGTGCACAATGTTTCGCGTTACCTCGGATAGGCCCTATCAGATGGACGCGGGTGCAGAATACGATTCGTATGCACGTGACACAGCGCGCACGGCCTTGCATCGGGCCCCCTGTTCGCATAATCCTGCAGGATAACGAACGCCACGTGCGCTACTCCTCCGACTTCGATTCGCGATAAGTCCGCGCTCTCGTTTCGTCCCGCAGCTGCTCGATACCAGATCGTTTTCACCGTCCTAGATTTTTCTGACCGTCCGCCCCTCCGGTTTTCCCGTTTCTATGGTGCGCCGCCATTAATTAGCCCGAAATTTCCGATGGCTCTTACTGTGATTATCTTTGCCGGTGATATGAAAATTTTCGATCCATTGGGTTGGCAACTAAGTAATCGCCGATTTGTTCAATGAAATAAACAATTTCTTTTTACTTGGAACGAAGTTTAATCTGTAATGTAGATGTGTATAAGAGACAGGACCAATTCTGGTCGCTTTTCCTCGGCCGCTGCATTCAATTTGTCCAGTTACTAACATTCACGGATAATAAAAAATAACATAATAATAATAATAATTATTATATATATATATAATAATAATAATTATTATATATATATATAATAATAATAATTATTATATATATATATAATAATAATAATTATTATATATATATATAATAATAATAATTATTATATATATATATAATAATAATAATTATTATATATATATATAATAATAATAATTATTATATATATATATAATAATAATAATTATTATATATATATATAATAATAATAATTATTATATATATATATAATAATAATAATTATTATATATATATATAATAATAATAATTATTATATATATATATAATAATAATAATTATTATATATATATATAATAATAATAATTATTATATATATATATAATAATAATAATTATTATATATATATATAATAATAATAATTATTATATATATATATAATAATAATAATTATTATATATATATATAATAATAATAATTATTATATATATATATAATAATAATAATTATTATATATATATATAATAATAATAATTATTATATATATATATAATAATAATAATTATTATATATATATATAATAATAATAATTATTATATATATATATAATAATAATAATTATTATATATATATATAATAATAATAATTATTATATATATATATAATAATAATAATTATTATATATATATATAATAATAATAATTATTATATATATATATAATAATAATAATTATTATATATATATATAATAATAATAATTATTATATATATATATAATAATAATAATTATTATATATATATATAATAATAATAATTATTATATATATATATAATAATAATAATTATTATATATATATATAATAATAATAATTATTATATATATATATAATAATAATAATTATTATATATATATATAATAATAATAATTATTATATATATATATAATAATAATAATTATTATATATATATATAATAATAATAATTATTATATATATATATAATAATAATAATTATTATATATATATATAATAATAATAATTATTATATATATATATAATAATAATAATTATTATATATATATATAATAATAATAATTATTATATATATATATAATAATAATAATTATTATATATATATATAATAATAATAATTATTATATATATATATAATAATAATAATTTTATAATATAACATTTACGGATATCATAAAAATGGGAGCGAGAGACATCTATAACTGAAATCGCCAATTACTTAGTTGCCAACCCAATAATTACCTTTGCTGGAGACATCTTTAACACTAACTGTATCATCATCGGTCAAATGACCGGTTTGTTCAATTCTTATTCTACAATTATTGAAATTATAAAGACACATTCATCGGAAGCCATTTAATAAATTTATTTATCCCAATATATGTTATTATAAAAATTGTAAAAAATCTAAATAAATTGAAAAACTGTAACTTGTATAAGGCAACACAGACGAGTTACTTTTAACGTCCGGTACGGTCAGTGTTAATACTAAACCTACCGAGTATTGGACAAATGTATAGTGGTATGTATAATTATAGATTTATAACATTTCTATTTTTTATTATTTCTAATATAGAAATAAATAAATATGGTATTTTGTTAAGTTTTTTCTGTACATGCTAAAGAAAGCCACCTATAGATCGGTGAATAATTATAAATTCAAAGTGACTTTTACATTTTTACTAATATTTAAACAAGAACCAAGAAATGATTTGTATATTTTCATTTTTTATTATTTCTAATGTAGAAATATACAAATGTGACGTTTTCGTTACATTTTTGTTTCAATATCACTAAAAATGTGAAAGTTACTTTAGATTTACAATTAAAAATGAAGACGGCATAAGAAGACGGCAGTTTGATAAAGACAAAATTTTTTCATTCACTAGACAAATTCAACGAATTCGGACATCTTAATTTCTTGATTTTTGTTCGATTGAACAAATTGTCTTTTTGCAGCTGCCGAGACGGCAGGCAAAGTGTTGAAACTTCAATTTTGTTTCAAAGGGTGTGGTCGGATAGGGGAGCAAAAAGTACCCTCTCCACACTGCCAAGAAAAACCATCTTGCGTCAAGTTTCAACCCTTTGTCTTAGCCGGAAGGGTAGTTACAGGAAAAAATTGCGTTATCGGGTTTTGTTCTATTTTCACGGTTTAATTGCGCGCAAAATATTCCAGGGAAAAATCTGAAACTGTTACGCAGCATTAGGAAATTGTGCAGTTATTTTTATTAATATAGTGTGTATACAATATCAATTAATATGACTGAGTGATTGAAAGACGTGAGAGAAATTCGTGTTACCACACGGATTTCCAGTTGAGAGAGTTTCGTAATGTTTATAATCTGATTTATATAATGCGGGAAAATAATCGGTTTAACGTATATGTATATTGTATATTGCGTGTACCTATATGTTCTGTGCATTTGTAATTAGTTGTTGTTAAGATTTCATAAAGTGAAGACGTGCATAAATTTGCATATTGATTTTCTGTATTGTACGTTTACGTGTTATATTTAATTTTTTAATTATAACAATAATTAATATAATTATAATATATATATAATTATTATTATTATTATATATATATATATATATATATATATATATATCATAATAATAATAATAATTATATATATATTATAATTATATTATATATATATATAATATATTATTAATATATTATTATTATATTATCATTATATTATATATATATATAATATATTATTAATATATTATTATTATATTATCATTATATTATATATATATATAATATATTATTAATATATTATTATTATATTATCATTATATTATATATATATATAATATATTATTAATATATTATTATTATATTATCATTATATTATATATATATATAATATATTATTAATATATTATTATTATATTATCATTATATTATATATATATATAATATATTATTAATATATTATTATTATATTATCATTATATTATATATATATATAATATAATGATAATATAATAATAATATATTAATAATATATATATATATATTCATATATATAATTATTAAATTTAATTAATTTACATCAAATTTTGCTGCCTTACCGCACCAGCTTGTCTTACAATATATCTGTTATAATTTGATAGTGTATTTAACCGAAATGCAATTGGAAATTGTCTCCAATGCTAATGAATTGGTATTTTAAGATCATATCGTCGAGAATTGGGTAACTCCATTTTCAAATAGCAGGCGTCGAGCTCCGAATGGAGAACAACAAGTTAGATAATCCTGATCGAACCTGTTCTAACGGTATAATGTAACCAGTCTATTATTGTGTCACGTTCAATATTAGTCTTAATGTGATAGGCATGGATGTTTGCGTGAAATTATTTCCCGCTTTTTAAAGCATGCCGACATAATGTGATCAATTAACACGACGGTAAACTTTGTGTTTACCTGCGTTATCGAACAAAACTTGGCTTCCGCCGTGCGGTTAAGTGGATTCTATTATCATCGGAAACTTATTTAAAGTTCACAACTTTTCAAGGTTAGCGACTCTGGTGATACAATAAGCTTCCATATATCAAGAACTAATTATTTTTATCTATGAAGATAAGTGAAAGACGCAGAAGAGAATGTACGTTTGCGAGAGCGCGTATTTCCGAATACGATAGCTAGATGTGTCTGTCTAGCGCTAACTAATTCTACTTCCAATAAACGTCGATATACTACTGCAACGCATTACATATATGCATGCATTCGCTGTTAACGCTAAAACTATCGGACGAGTCGAAATAGTTAGTTTCCGTGTTTTATCTTATAATTGCTGAAATTGTTTTAACGAGTTTATTTATTCAAAGGCACATTATAATGAAACTTCTAGGAAATTTAAATAAATTGATTGAATCTTGTATATTAATGAGAAGAGAATATATGTATATCAGTCTGGTTTAGTGTTTGATAGTTCCATCCAATGACTAAGAAGCTGAAAACATGATAAATTAAAGAAGATTTATATTCTCGAAGAAAAATTAATCTCACCGAAGAGCTTGACTAATTAGTTTTAATTGGTAGACAGAAATATAATTAGTGATAAGGTCACGTATTCAATAAAATAATTAAGACAATAATTACGTTTCAGTATGCAAAAACAGTATGTGCTATTATGGATATAAAAAAAAAGAACGAGTATTAAGAGTACAACATTAAGCTATCTTAAATGCAAAATTGTTAACAACTGACGCTACTAATTAATAAATAAATGACTCAAGAAGCAACGCAGATAGACAGAAACGTTAAATGCAAAATTGTCTTGCCTCCATGTGATAAATAAAACGTGACGTAAACAGAATTTTGAAAAAATTAACGATATTGTTAGCGCACCTTACTTCATTCGTAAACATTAGCGAAAGTAGAAGCAGTCAGTGGAGGACAGATATTCCAGCTATGAGCTAAGAGCTAAGATCAATATAAAATATACACAGGGTGACCTGTTTGTAAGGATAAATTACAAATCTAGTGAAAACGGTTTTTTTAAAATCTTGTATTAAAGATTCTTTAGCATCTCCTTTATTAGTTGAACTGTTCTTTTATTGGATAAATTTTGTCATCTAAATTTAAAAAGAATTTCAACTAACTATTGTTTTCATAATTGGAACACCTGCAGCATACTTTTACTCGAGCGTTAGTATGATCAATGTATGTATCGCTGAAGGATAATTTTTCCTCGTTTAAAGGAATTCTATTTTATAGCAGAAATTTTTGTGGCAGAATTTTATAACAATATTAAATATAACAATATATACAATATATAACAATATGTATAATATATTACATAATATAATTATATTACATAATATATACATAACAATATTAAATATTAATATATTTAAATATTAAATATTAAATAAAACGAATATTAAACTATCGAAAGTCACTTAATGACAGTGTTGTATCTAAAAGAATTTCGATATTCATCGTTTCTGCCATTGAAAATAACCATTACTATCGCACCATGTCCTATAAAATCTTTAATTACTTGTTAGTGACCTTGATACCATAAAATTTATTATTTCTCCTATGATTATAAATCGAATTGAAATAGTAAATCAAAAATGAGTAAAACCTCCGTTTAACACTCTAACGGCCGCATCAATAACTTGAAAAGTTTCATAAAATTAAAGTATTCTATTCGATTTAATTAAAATTGCAAAGCAAAGTTATATGACATCAATTATTCTTCCAACATAACCGCGAATCTTCATAAAATTATTATCGCGTGATAATTATTATTATCATTGTAAGAATTATTTTAAAAAAATTAAAATTTAAACAATTCTGTTCCCACATAGTGACGCGGCAGTCAAGAATGTCAATAGTGTAATTCTGATTACTTTATTAATAGCATAAAAAGGATGAATTTTGTTAACAACAAAACTTAAACTTCTCGAAAAATCTACGATCTCTCTGCAGTGCCGAAATACCGGGCACCCGTTACACCAGCTGAGTACAACTAGGTTGGGTATCCCTCCGAGATCTATAAATTATGTCGATCCGTTCAAGCAGAGCGTCGTTAATAGACTCGCGGAAGACGTTGGCGGTTTGCCAGTCGTCGGAGACACGCCATCGACGTACGCGCAAATATGTAAAGAAAGCCGCGTGTAACGCTCTCGTAACGTTTAACGATAACATTGCCCCCAAGATCAACCGTAAATCGAACGCTTCCTGAAAAGGGGGACAGGGAGCGGGGACGGGAAGACGAGAGACAAAAGGCAATCAGAAGAGAGAGAGAGAGAAAGAGAGAGAGAGAGAGAGAGGGAGAGGGAGATAAATACGGACGCTCATTGAAGCGTCAATGAGAATTTCCGTACGGAGACGCGATCAACGCGGGATCGCGTATCAAGGTCCCGCGCGCCAATGCCATCGATTCGAAATATTGAAATGGCTGTCGGCGCTGCGCATGCGCGAAGGGGGGTGCACGCGACTCGGAACCGAAGGAGAGACGAGCAGACGACCGCGCGCTGGAGCGAGACGACGGTAAAAATGGCCGCGCGGCTCTGGTGCTAACTACTTACATTTATATTTCTCGCGCATCTTCTGGTAGTTCTCGTACATGACCTCGCGCGATATGGGGCCATGGTGGAAGTCACGGACGCCGAGGCCGCCGAGGCAGCCGACATGGGAGCCGGCCACGCGAGTCAACCAAGAGGAGAGGAGATTTTCGACAACGAACTGCGATGCTACGGCGACGGCGAGGGTCCTCCTGTGCAGCATCACGGACGATTGGCGGGTATGCGGTATGCGCCGACGGCAACGGTGCTCGACGATTGGCGCTCCACTCGGCGGGAAGTTCAACTCGATTCCACCACCCGAACAACACCCCCTCGCTCGTCCTTTCACCAGCCCCGCGGGTATTCTCACGCGCGAGCCGACGACGCTCTGTCGAACAACATTTGAACACTGTACCTTTTCTCTGTAGCCGATTGTAAGTACGCGATTATCTGTCTCTGGTTCGCAACCAAGTATTCGTCGTATCGGTCACCACCAACTGCCCGCTATTTTTACACCGACCGCGTTCCGCTCGCGGTTGTCGAAGTTCGAGCGCGTTCGGGCCGACCACCAGCTGCGTGTGCTGCGTGAGGCTGACTGTCACTGGCCGTTCGAACGTTTTATTCTACGCCGGTAGGGGTTGAGGCAGCGCGCGATCATGCCACTCGAAATAGTCGTCACGGATCACGGAGCTAATGCTTTGCAGGGCGAGTCGCCGATGACAAGCTACAGAGACGGACAAAAGATTCAGACGAAAAGTAGGTATATTGTTAGATGTTATGATATACTAGGTTAATATACTAGGTATATATACTAGTATACTAGGAAAGGTTATAGGCAAATATTGTGGAACAGGAAAGGAAGTATAGAAATTGTTAGTTTAGTGATGTCTTAAAACAATTTGACGACTAAATAGTCGTTATAATATATTAGGTTAATATACTAGGTATATATACTAGGTATAATATAATAGGAAAGGTTATAGGCAAATATATATGAAAAGGAAAGGAAATATAGCAATTGTTAGTTTAGTGATGTCTAGGTATATATACTAGGTATAATATACTAGGAAAGGTTATAGGCAAATATATATGAAAAGGAAAGGAAATATAGAAATTGTTAGTTTAATGATGTTTTGTTTACAAGCTGAAGGAAAATTAGGAAGAATTTACTGTATTTCGTTTCATAAGAATTCATCAAACATCTATTTCTTGTCCTTTCTTATGTTTATGATTTTGAATGATTCTGAATAAATATTGCCATTAATTAAATTTGCAAATTTAATTTTTTAATTAAACTTGCAAAGCAAAGTTATAGGACATCGATTACTATTTCAACATTCTTACCTCTTGCGAATCTTAATAAAATTAAGAAATGTTTATGGATTAGCATAGAAATTAAATTTTAAATAATTTCGTTACCCGCTGTAGTCAAAGTGTTAAAATTGCTGTCAGGAAGGCTACAATTGTAGATGTTTAAGATTACACGGTTTTGTTTAAAAAAGTTAATTACGACCTCCGAATCTCCTAAACATATCCGTCTGAAAAAAACTTCTTCACACCATAACAATGTACCTCTCGAAACTGATCGAATTTCGTCTGATATATATTTTTGTCTACCTAAACAAATCTAGGAGCTCATCAGACTGCTTGTCTTAGGTGACTCACCCTGTATAGGTATGCACTGCCTCCCGAGTGGACAAGCCGATGATACCTGAAAGACGGGCGGCTGCCAAGCACAACTTCCGCAACGATGTTTCGAATTCCACTGACCCGTGGTCGGTTGTCTTTATCAACAGCTGGGAAGTCGTACATGGAATCGGTGCCTGACGGAAATTAACGACCTTCTTATATTACCGGTTTGATTATCTCGCTCTTTAGGGCTTATCTTTTTGGAGGCGCATACACTGATAACATGGAGAATGTACTCGATGTTTTGTAATCGATTACAAAAACTAATGGAAATTTTGTTAGTTTTTATGCAGGATGACCCATTTGAAGTAGCGCATTCAATTATCTCCTAAACCATGGTTTGTTTAAAAAACTGTGACAATTGAAACTTATCCTGTTTAATATCTTGGAAACTACTGAATGCTCAATTTTTGAGTTATTCGTGCAAAGAAAAGGTTCTTGCTTATAACTTTTACAGTTAAAGTACTTCGGTATATAAAATTCACGTTTGATCTACTTGAATAACTTCATTACCGATGTATCTTAGATTATTGTCGTATATATTTGAATTTGAATTATAAGTTGTATTGAAATTTCGAAGAAAGTTTTATATGTCATGTGACCCCACGATAATATTGTAAAAGTAATTGGCAAATTATCATCCGCGATTGAATAAAAATACGATTGAAAATTTGAATCAATGAAATTGTTTCCTCCAAAAAATCAATATTTATGTATTTGTTTAGATAGGACAACAAAGAGATCCAGAAGCACATGATTTTAAGTATTAATGATTTTAATATTATACTTGACATTATAGTATGATTCTGTTACATTTAATTTGGTCGTTATGATATTTTATTCCTAGATTGGTTTTAGTTCAAAGTACGAATAAAAAATATATGGTAATATTTCGTTCAAAAATGTTTGCTACAAAATCTTAACAATACGTGCGTGGTCATGTGTGTTTACATATACGAGGCATAGATTTCCAGAAACAATAAATTGTTTCAGCTTTCTATAAAACACTAAACAGTATTCATTTTATCAAAAGATAGAATGTCAACACGTAAAATGGCTAAAAAGTGTGGACTTTTACTTTCTACAAAGAATTTGAGTCTTTCAGCGAATTTCGTACAGTAGATCAACAAATTTTAAACAATTATTGGGAAAGAATGTCAATTCGATAATATTAAAAAAGCGTAGGCAAAATCATTTCCAATGGCAGCAAAATTTTTAACAGAAGATACAGTAAGATAAAAAAGGAAGAGACATCCGAGGTCGCGTAGTGTTCGCAAATAAGTACAAAAACTGAACTATTAACGACTGTGAAAAGTTGATGGACGCAGTTGATGTTGGTTTCGACGACGAGAGAAATTACAAAAATGGCACGCGCGGACCAGTGTAGAATTTGATGGTGGTGCACTCAGGACATGGGGATGTTTTATGTGGCATGTCGGTGGGCCATTGTGTCGCGTTAAAGGACGAATGAGTAGTCTTTTATATATATATATATGAAAGTAGATATTACAAACCACATTTTTCAAGCAATTCAAAATATACCAGTCGAGGAACACAATATTTTGAAATAAATATAAAATCGTGTACTTCTTACGTTTTCTATGTGTTCCAATGTTCCTATGTGTTCCAATACACGACTTCATGAAAATTTGAATGATAAAAATCGATCAAGCACAGTTTCTTAAAAAAACGTATTATAATTATATCATCAACAAAATTTATCCTATTTATACTATTAATAAAGTATATCATAATTGCACTATTAAAATAGTGTATCATAATTGCACTATTAAAATAGTGTATCATAATTACACTATTAACAGTTTGATTGCCACATTACCGATATATTGGCATAACCTTGACAGAATTATTTAAAATTTAATTTTTAAAAATTTCACCAACATTCGCAAGACGTAAGAATGTTGAAAAAGTAATTGATGTCATATAACTTTGTGTGTGCTTTGCAAGTTTTAATTTTTTTTTTTTTAATTGAATAAAATACTTCAATTTTATAACATTTTGGAGGTTTTTGGCGCCGCCGTCAAAATACTACCATACAGGGTGTCCCATAACGGAGCGAATGTTCATTGGCTGGACCGCCTCGTGTCAGCTGAGCTCGCCTCTCATTGGTCACCGTTTTTCGCTAATAACTCGTAAACAAAGCCGCGGATTGCATTTTCGCTAAGGAGAAAGTTACTTCAAATGACCTCAGGAATCACGCCTTCCCAGGTGTTAACATAATTATGGGACGTCCTGTTTATTTATATCGATTCATCACCTCAAAATACCGACTTTCTAGTTTCACTGCAGCGGTGCAACAAAATTCGAAGAATTTCAAACACTTAAGTTTGTTTTTCTGAAAATCGTAACTCTCGGATTATGTCATCGGTGCAGTAAACGAGCCATACGATCTAGCTCATGGCACATTAATCAAATTGCCTCGGTTGATCCCTAGTCCCGTGTAATTGCCTCTCGAGGACAGAGGTTCAAGAATCGACGACAACCGACGAATTTTCGAAGAGACGCGACTGCCGCGATAACGAACGTAGATTCGTAGGTACACAATGTAACCGCACAATAAATCGCAACGTGCTCCAGATTAGAAAAGAGGTCTACGAATCCTATCCGTGTTTTGCCGTCGGAACAATTGCGATTTATCGCTGGTAATCTGAGCCGGGTATCTACGCGGAAATGGGTTAATTAATGCTCTAATCCGAGTTAGGCAGCCTTGAAACACGTTTCGCTTGGGAAGGACCATTTCGCGACCACGACAAAACCCGTAAATCGACGATCTCCTTACGATGCTCAGCATACATACGCCACTTGGCTGATCGTAATCGCGTGGAGGATCGATCAGGCGCGCACGTGGACGGACCAGTTCGCCTATCTTGATCCGATCTATTGATATCCAGAAAAATTCGCGGCCGCGACCGACGCGGTGTCGCGGACCGATGTTATGATTAATGATTGGTCGCGGCCTTCTGACGGTCGTTCTCACGTTTCTGCTTCCGTGGCCAGCGCTTGACATTATTCTGCCAGCGCAGCAGCCCCGCTAAGCAGCGAATGCAACTTACTTTCTCGGATTCGCGATATGAATAGCGACAGAGCTGTTACCTGTTTTGATAGCCGCGATCACCGCAACGGTTTCCAGACACGCAGGCAAAACGGTCGTCACGAACAACTCGAATGCGGAGGTTTTTAACATATCGAGTGCCACGTGGCACAGTGGTTGGGGTTACCTTGAGATCGTTAACAATTATTTCAACGACATTGTTTTCAGCGACATCGCATTTTAACGGCATCGTTTATTTACCGATACGTTGAAATCACCGACAAACGAGCCGTTTTATTTTGAAAGTGGCATAAGTCACTTCACCGTAATGAAAAGTGGTGATTTTTTTTTAATGTTTATACGAGATTATTTATGCTGAGAAGAATATCTCAGTATCCTGAGATAACGAATACAAGTAAATCTTCTCGAAAGTTAGCATCCATATTTTGAGAAACGTGTTAAAACGCAAACCCTTAAATAGAATATATTTAAGTCGATATTATCGACTTAAATATATTCTATTTTCCCTGACTTATGATTCTCGATTGAATATATTGTTCTTCAATCATTCTATGACGAACTTTTAAATAATAGTTTCGAAAGAAATTGTTAAGTTGTTGTTGTGAGTTATCAATTGAAATTATTCATATTATTAAAGAATACGTTAAGAGAGTAAGTAGTTAACTATAAATTATAAACCACCAAATTTAATATAAAATACATTCACACTTCCATTTATCCAATTGAATAATTTCATAACTGTTAATCTAATATGAAATTATTAGAAAGCACGGTGTTTATAATCGATAATTTTTTTTAGGCAAGTTTCTATTTTAGAAATTCGAAGCTGTCTATATTTTATGCAGCACGGTAAGACAGGAATTCGTGTCGAGAAATTTTTCTCCAAAATGCATCAGAATTGAGAACTGCTAATTTGAAACTCGTACCGAATAGTGCATTCAGTTAGGCGTTAATAATATGAACGGTCTCTAACGTTAGCGGATGTAGCCGCTCAATGGTTTTAATTCACTTTCTTAATATGGCCGACGATACGATTTAATAAGATAAATAGAGTTCAACTTTGTGTGTGTGTGCGTAATCACACAATTACCGTTGGTGAACGGCCGCCGACCATCTGCCAACTTTCTCATCGATCAATTACTTGTGTGGCAAGCATAATGAGCAGATAGAATTATTCGTATTCTTCGATCCATAAGGATATTAAACGATTATACATACAAAGTTTCACCACAAGATGCTTTTATGTTTTGTTTACAACGAAAGCAACTTCGTCCCCTAAGGTTTCATTAAAGCACGTTATTTTTCAAACTCCGAACGAAATTCAGAAATTCAAAAATCCGACGAAAATCAACGGTGTTCTTCTTTATGTTAAACATCAAAGGCCTGGTCAGGATTGTATTTGTTATAAAAGTACAACTAGTTCATGTCGATACAACTTACTAAAAATTTAGTTCTTGATTTTGAACCAAAGATGATACTATATTATATAATATTATCTTTTAATATT